AAGATTCTAGTGGCCAGCGTGAGAGCCAACAGCTGACTGACACGAATGTTAACTAGCATGCTAGCATGCAAAAAAAATCGATAGCTGCATTCGTCACAAGTGGGAAAAAATTAAATCTGCATGGCACTTTACACCAATTGGCACATTCGCTTGCTTAAACTCAACGTTGATTCTGATTCCGCAGAACTGGGTTGGGTGTGAAAAAGTATTTGTTGTTAACATTCTTTTTTGATTCGGTTTTTCTAGTTACGGGTCCTTTTTTAAAGCTGATCGTTTTGTGTTCATTTCTTTTAGTTCTTTTTTCGTAACAGATTTAATGTTTAGTATAGAGCTTAGAAAAAAATTCGCACTGTGAGATAGGCAAGAAGTAAGGCCTGTAGCAACATCAGCACAGCAAAGAGCACTCTTAAGGACAAAAATATTTTAAGTCAAGTGATAGCGATTGCTGTATGAGTCGTACGATTTTGAATCAAGCACGTGCAACGCTGGGCCATGCTGCTAGTACACACACACACACACACATATATATATATATATATATATATATATATATATATATATATATTATTAGAGTGATTCAATAGATCTCTAGCTATTTCTTTTTATCACGTTTTAACTTTTATCTGTTTTCCTCTCTCCGCCTCCAATCTGCATACCGAGATTTTCAAAATGTATTGATCTTTTTCTTTATCACCTTCTCTTTCTTCCTCTCTCTCTCTCTCTCTCTCTCTCTCTCTCTCTCTCTTTTTATTATCACTTTCTCTTTCTCTTACCGTCTTTCTATTTTTCTATTATTTCCCTCTATCACTTTTTCATCTCTTTCTCTATCTTTCCCTTTATATTCCTCGTTACTATTTCTCTCTCTCTCTCTCTCTCTCTCTCTCTCTCTCTCTCTCTCTCTCTCCTCTCTCTTTTATCTCTCTCTTTCTACTTTCTCTCTCATTAGCTTTACGGGTCCGCCCCTTCCTTTTCTTTCTTTCTTTCTTTCTTTCTTTCGTTTTCTACTTAAAAGTGTTTCCTCTCTTTGTTTCACCCTCCCACATCATCTCTTTCGTTTTCTCTCTCTTAGCTCGATTTAACTCTTTTGTCCTATTTATCTCTTTGTTTCTTTCACTAACACTTTCCATATGTCCCTTCTCTGTCTCTCTTTCTCTTACTTTCATTCTCTCTTTCTACGCTCCGTTTTTCTTTCTTTTCTTTTCTAATTTTTCTTTTCTTTTTCTTTTCTTTATTTTTTTGCATCTCCCGCCATTTTTCTGCCATTTTAAACAGCTAATCTCCCGCCACAAAATGGATGCCGAAACGGCAGCAATGATGTATAAGATAGGGAAGATCCTAACCATTCGTCTTCCTGATGTCAAATGCGCGTGGCTAGCGGTCAGTGAAGGGAAGGGAAGCTGGAAAACAGAAGAACGAACGGACGAATAATTTGATGGACAGAATTATAATTGATCCCTTTGATGCATTCTGGGAAATTGATACAGATATACGTTGCATAGAAAAGTCGTTTACTCGTAAACATATTCATGGCTTCATGCATATAAGTAAGCGAGTATGTTTGAGTAATTTTGCATGTATGTGATTGCGTAAATCTATAGACATAGAATTGAATAAGCCTCGATGAATACAGATAGCAATATGTAACAGACAAATGTATACAATTACTGATCAACACAGTTTCACCAGTCTCTTTCGAAGTAACCCTCTGCCTGCTATACGCAAACTTGTTCGCACAGGTCGTGAGTTCAATCTTTACTGGCCGCTCCATACTTTTGGGTATGAAATACAAATGTCGGCACCTGGTATGGTACCTATCTGGTACAGTACACTTATATTCAAATAATTTTCTCTGCAACACGATTCTTTTATATCCATTTCTTAAAGGTTTACTCTATTTTTATATAGGCCTCCCCAACTGGCATAGATATTCCACCAACCCACCCTCTTTAGTGCAATGAAGAAGGTGTTGCCGCAGTGTTGGAATTCCCAGAACCAATCATTTGACTGGAACTATGCATTGATACTATAATACTATGCATTGATGCTAAGATACTATGTATTGATACTATGCGTTGATACTATGCATTGATACATAATGATATTATGCATTGATCCTTGCTCGACTGCCGAAAAGCGGTGGCATTTACCTTTACACCCCGCCCCGAGGCTAGGATGTGACAAATGTTTGTTTTAAATGTGGGGTGCCCAATGGTCAAGATAAAAACTTGCCGAGTCTTTGCAACCACCGTCACACTGGCGTTGATATTCCACCAACGCTCCTACTTTTAATGCAAAGGTGCTGTTGTGGGTATGGAATCCCTGAGCCCAGGCTTCTTCTTCGCTGATTGAAGAAGAGAGCAGTTATGCATTGATCTCGGGACACTCTATACTCTTTTTTATACTCTATTTCTAATACTCTTATATGGTTAAGGCAGTTTTACTCAGGAATGCTCATCCTATATAGTTAAGGTAGTTTTACTCGTAAATGCTCAGCCTATAATGTTGAGGCAGTTTTACTCAAGAATGCTCAGCCTATATGGTTAAAGTATCCTTTTTTACAAGTTGAAAAATTTCCATCGGCATCACTATTCCAGACGTCAATTTTCAAAAAGATTAAAATGTGGTCTTGTGCCAAAGCTATATCATTGTATCCGCCTGGCCTTTAAGTGTGACTCGAGCCTATTGCAATGACACAAAAGGTAGGATAATCACCATACTAATACCGATGGCCTCTTTAATGAGCCTTAAATGTGCGCGCGAGAGAGAGAAAGAAAGAAAGAAAGAAAGAAAGAAAGAAAGAAAGAAAGAAAGAAAGACTAAATATTTATACGCATGACAATTCAAACAGAACAAGGCACAATGTCTGGTTTAAAGGGACTTCCCACGATTTGTGCCACTTTTCACCTAAATTGGGAATTTCATCATAAATACAAATCGAGGATTTCAAATCTTTTTCGAATATTTTTATTTGCAGCTGACCAGCCAATGCTGCCTGAGCCGAAACAAGTTACTTTTTGAAGATTATTATTATTATTCATTGAGAAAGTAGCAAACCAACAAAGTGGTGCTTACGGCCACATCACATTGATCACCGAAGTTATACAACTTTGAGCCTACTCAGTACCTAAATTGGTGACCGCTTGGGAATACCAAGTGCTGTAAGATTGAGTGTGCGGGTGATGTAATGGATAATGGCTCGGAATTGCTAATCGGAGAACTGAGTTCCAATTCCATTTGAGTTCGTTGTAGTCACTTACGCGCAAATACCCTTGAGAAAAGTATGAATCCACATCTTTTCCCCCAGCCATGGGTTAATCAATAAGACTTGTATCAATAAATTATTATAAACTGAAATAAAATTGCCTACAAAAATATTTAGATTTCAGCATTAAATAATCTATAGATGTTGATATGCCGTTAAACAAAATCACTCAACCAACAAAATATATGCTGGGTTACAAATATGCGAAACGCAATGTACCAATCATGATACCCAGTCTGATAAGGGTATATTGTGCACATGCATCAAAGACACTTATGCGCGATATGGTGATCGGTTTTCATAGAAGTGTATGAGGCTCAGTTGGAAATACCTTCAATTCGGGTAACTCAGTCTACCCAGACGGTCCCCGATTGAGGGTGTTCCCAAGTATCTAAATGTAACTTGCATCGTTTTGGCTGTGTCGTCCTTCAAATTTAAAAGAAAAGGTACAACCATTCTGACGCTCAGCCATAATGATCTTATGAACGGCTATACACAGTGCGTCAACCCTTTATGGAACAGGCTCAACAGTTTAAGCTCAGGCAAGTAACAAACAATTCTGCGGTACCGAACGAGATATTTACTGGAGCCAATCTTTAGCCCTCACCAAAATAAAACACGATTTAAGATCAGTTCACGGCAGTAGAGAACAAAAAAGTATCTGCATTTCTCTTTTGGAACATGTCAGACGTCAGGGATTAAAACCTTTAATTATTAGCACTTCAAAGATGATTTATTCCTAAAGCAGACTGTTTGTCCCTGTCATACCTGAATGTACCTATTCTATTATTAACAGACTCTCCCACACATCATAAGTAGTAGTAGTAGTAGTAGCGGTCGCCAGTTGGGCTCAGTGGTGTTGAGTGAGTCAGTCGATGTCGGACATTGAAGTATCAACCATCACAACTAGATTGCTGCGTCATTAACTCTTATTTCAAGTTCCTAACGTTTTGTACGTCGGACCTTTTTTAGGCCCGACTTAGCGAAATACAAGCCTCCACTGTGAAAACTACTCTACAACAGTCCCCCAATTATAGGTGACTCCATTTGCTGAACAATTTATATATTTGAATCCCATAGTTGTGTTATCCTGTCCGGCTGTAACAACTGTGAAAAACAGGTTGAGTGAAATTCAGAATGAGGCTACTGCAGATGAGGAGGCAGTGCCATAAGTAATACACGTGAATAATGCAAAGTGTTAAAGGTTAAAAATGCGAAATTTTGCTTAGTCTTGGCACAAAGCCATAAGTAGAGGATTAAACACATTATTTAGTAGTAACTGGCAACCAAACAAGCACATTAACCATTACGCCGCGTAGAGGCGTCCATGCCGAAGTGAGATATAAAAAACGTGTGTGTGTGTGTGTGTGTAATGCGTTCGTGTAAGCAGCCCATTCAGCCATATATCAGGTCTATCCATCCTTGGCAAAGTAGAATGTTCCTGTACGGTTTATAATTACAAAGTGTTTCTTGTATTGCTGTAGCTGAAGGGTCAGCTTGCGTTCGAGTCCGGGATGTGCTGAACTGAATGTCCACAGCAAAGGACAAGAGAGAACCACTTAAGACTGCCCCGGCCGATACGAAGTTAGAATTGAAATGGCCGGTAAGATGGAGGCAATAAAACAAAGCTTCCGGTTCAGAAGAATCCTGGGATGCCACATATAAAAGACATGAACATAGACGATTTCGCTTTCATTTCGTTATTTTGTAATTTTTGTTTTTTTTTTTTTTTTTTTTTATGGGGCGCGTTTTCTTTCTTTTGGGATTTCTTATTTTCTTTCTTTATTGTATCTTTTTTGTTTATTATTTTCCCCCTATTTTTCCTTTTCTTCATTTTTTCATTCATCCCTGTTTACTTTCTTTCATTTTTTTCATTCATTTTCGCTTGCTTTCATTTTTTGTTTATTCTTCCTCTTTTCTTTCAATTTTGACGCTAATTTTTCCTGATTTCTTTCTTTCATTAACTCATTCTTTTTTCATTTTTCTTCTTTCCTTTCATTCGCGGAATGGACTTAGCACTTTTTATTCGAGATTTTTCTGTAATATTTTAAATCATTTGTCTCGTCTTCTGTTTTTATCTTTATTTTTATTCAATCAATTTTTCTTTCTTTTTATCTCTTATGCCTTTAACATTTCTTTGCCAGGCTGACGCCATATTTTTCGGAAATCTCCTCTTTTCTTTGTTTCTATTTTCATTTCTTTTTTGTCTGTCATTACATTCGATCTTTAGTTTTTCTTTCCCTTTTTCTTTGCATTATTTTCATTTCTCTTCTATCTATCTATCTCTCTCTCTCTCTCTCTCTCTCATTCTTTCCTTCGCTCTATATTTTTTATTATTTATTCTATCGTTTACTATAGTTTGCTTCTTTTTCTTTTATTTTTTATCATCTTCTTCATTGCTTTTTGTGTTATTTCTTTTCCTTTCTCTTTTCTTTTTGCCTGTCACACACACAGACACAAACAGAAGTGAAAATTTTTATCAAGCCTGCAATCGTTGATGATGATGATGATGATGATGATGATGATGATGATGATGATGATGAAATCGAAATGCTCATTTAAAATAATTCAGGTCACCCAATACAGGACATCGCAGTGTGGCACCATGCATCCTGACGATTTGAAAGAAATATTCATAGATATATGATTTGTTTTTTACGGTTTATCAACCATTTAATAATTATTTAGGGCCGAAAAATATTTTGGGTTTTAAGAATAATTCTTTCTTTACATTCAAGCGATCTGGAAGAAGGACAGAGAAAACGAAGAAGAAAGAAAGAAAAAATAATACGAAAACAGGTCATAGGCGAGCACACACTCGCACGGCTGACAGATAACAGGTGTCGAAAAATATTCAGGTCAAGCATCTGACCGAGATCCGCGGAAAATGGAAGTTGTTATCACTTGGTTGTCATCCAAGGGAAAAGAAAGAAAAGAAGAAACGAAGTTTAGGGACAATGAAAATATTGATAAGTAACAAGTGGAAAGTGTGTCATTGGAATGATAGTAAAGGTCTAAGTGGGTGGGGAAGTGTATCTAAGGATATGAAGGCAAACCATTAATACGAAAACCCAGACAGTCTCCAGAATTGGAAAAAGCCACACAAGATGATGTCGCTGAAAATTTTTTTTTTTGAGATAATAAACATTTTTATTATCGGACCTTCAAGCGGAGAAAATGAAATATTTTTATTTCGTTCAAAAAACGCCAACGGGTCTGAGAAATCCCTTTCTTAGATCATATCCAATTAGCGATAAACTGTTTTGACAAATACCACGTGTTAAACAGCCGAAGGTGTCATCTCAGTCGCTCATGATAAGGGCGATTTAAATTAATATTTTTGTTTTTAAGCAAGGTGTTTCTTTCCCCAAAACAAAGCCACGGATTGTCCACGCCCGACTAAAGACTTCATTGGCTAAATAAGATCACATGACACACGAAGGAGGAGGAAAGATACCCGACCAGGACCTCATTGGCCGAGAGCGGTCACGTGACGCACGAGGAGAATCGGTCGACGCCCCTGTCAGAAGTGTAAGTGTAAGGAGCCGATACGAAGAAGCAGGGAAGCGGGTATACGCCCTCAGAGGCACATAAGGAAGTGGGAGTGAGAGTGAGTTACCGAAAATGGAAAATCCCTAACCAGAAATAAGAAGGGTGGATACGTATTTACAATTATCGAAAAACCCCTGGCGCCGACAGACCCACCCCAGTTTTGACTGCGTCAATAAAAGCGAAACCCCAACCGACAGAAATCAGTTTGAGTTGAGCCGCGGACGGCGAAAGAGTTCAGCTGTGGACGACAAGCAGAAATGAGCGCACAGTGTTGAAACCGCGTCAAGATAGCTGACCAAGATTCACGCACACTTCTGGACTCTTCTTCAACCAAGAACAAGTAGTTTGAAGAGCGACTTAGAATCAGACCACAGAAATAAGTTTTTTTTCGACTTTCGTCCAAAGACACACCGAAACACAAATTTCTTAGAGAGCAGACAACTTGAAGCCTTAGAGTTGCCTAGTAAAAGCGTCGTGCCACAATCCACAGAACGGGTCGGGAAGTAGACATAGTCCTATGTACCGAGCAATTAGACATAAAAAGTTTGTTACCTTTTTCTTGATACGTTGGACCTTGTGAGTTTTTATTTTATTTTCTTTTATACATAATTGTGTGTTATCACCCCCGTTAGACTTCAACTTGCATTACGGCCCCAACCCTGTTTGATCTCGTCTGTCTAAAATCAATTCACAACGTGGGTAGGCAGACTGGAGATCAGTGCAGTTACCCTGGTAACCAGGCGTTGGAAGCGGGTTGGGAACGGCGAGGCTGGTATCAATCTAACCAAAGGGTTAGAACGTCACAATTGGCGCCGCGAGCGGGATCGAACGACACAGTCGACGCTGCGACCGGGGGACAACGTCACAGCAGAGTTACTCCGCATATCTCATACGAACGTTGTAAGGCATTTGAAAACAGTTGGATATGAGAATTGATACAATGTTTTGATGCCCCCCGATTTAATGGACAACTATTTAATGACCGCATTTCTAATTTTGAGAAGAACGATCATAAGCGATGAAAAATGGATTGTTACAAGAACGTGGAGCAAACTATGTTCTGATGAAAACAAAATGAGCCACGGTTAACTACTCCAAAAGCCGGTCCGCATCCTAAGTTTAAAAGCAACAATCGATGAAAAGTGCCATGAATTGGTCAATCAGAAAAGTATCCGGAAATGATTTATCAAGGTTAATGTAAGGATTTTCTTTTGAAACAAGTATTTATAAGCAAAAGTAAAAATGTTGTTCGTTTTTCAAAAATTTTTAATTTAAGAAATCCTCATAAATATTCATCAGGCTAATTGAAAAGTCTAGGTAAAGTACGGAGGACGCTAAGTGACGTAATTTAATGTCTAATAAACAAAAGTGAGTAAATAAACTTGTTTTTGATTTTTTTTATATAATGTTATTAATATTTATATTATTTTAGTTTAGGATTAATCTATGTCGTATATATTTTAAATAATAGAAGGTTATGAATTTAAACGATTTTTGTTGTTTTTTTTTACAGTAAACTAGATAAAAACAGATATATGATACTATTTACATAGCATGCTGATAGGTAGAGTGGTTTGATGATCGCTTAAAGTGTGAAAATGCCAGTCAGCATGGCGTTTTCCTTTCAATATCCACATTGTTTATAGATAGATAGATAGATAGATAGATAGATAGAGACAGAAAGGGAGAACTGAAATTTCTAGAAACCTAATGAGGGAAGAGGTCTTGAAGACTTTGACACTCAGAGGACATATTCAAGGCAAGATGGACAGAGGAAAGTAGCAAATGATCGACCTAATGAGCTTGTGTAAATGGTTGACAGAACATGGAAAAGAAGGGATAGCAAAAGAAAAAATCCTTACTCATCTCTACAAATGACAGTAATTTGTGGATGATCATGATCATCCATATCCAGAAAGGACATGATACATAGATGTTATACCTGACGTACCTATTCTATTATTAATAGACTCTCCCACACATAATAAGTAGTAGTAGTAGCGGTCGCCAGTTCGGCTCAGTGGTATTGAGCGAGTCAGACGATATCGGACATTGAAGTACCAACCATCACAACTAGATTGCTGCGTCATTAACTCTTATTTCCAAGTTCCTAACGTGTTGTACGTCGAACCTAATTTAGGACGACTTATTGAAATACAAGCCTCCACTGTGAAAACTACTCTACAACAATAGAAGAAGAAGAAAATGTATATGGGGAGAATACACATTATGAGAAAAGAGACTTTTGTAATATGAACAATGTGAATATAGAATTCAACACTGATTGGTGACTGTCGGTTTCATGTCTAAACATATCTTTAAATCATATTCACCATTTAAAAATTGAAAAGAACTTTTTGGAATTATTTAATTGACAGATAATGTGTATGACTAAGTGTATATATAATAATAATATTAGACAGATATTAGTTGATAACAATAATATTCATACGTATACACATTAAAAAGAACCTTCAGAGACTGGAATCCATCTACATTAAAACAAAGCAACCCACACTCAACAAAATTACATCTCAAACTAGTCACAACACATTACATTGTATCTAGGCATTGGTTCTGTTCGGTCTCTCGTGTGGTATGAAGTCATAGAACCACATTTGAACTTACGATCGGCGTCTGCTATTCCGCGTCTGTTAACATCGCATAGCAATCTTCTGTGTCAAAATATCATCTTTGACGGTGGATATCTTTGTTTCATATCTGTATAACCTCTCTGAGAATGGCTCATGTGAGCCGAAAGCTTAGGACCAATTTAATAAAAAATATATCCAAATGTTAGACAATTTTTGTCTTTATTTTCACCAGAAATTAAAGCAAACATTTAAATGTTAGAACGGCTCCTGATCAGGCATAATGGACATTAATTGTCTGTTACATTCAGTAATATATGTTTAAATATATCTCTGTGTGTGTGTGTGTGTGTGTGTGTGTGTGTGTGTGTGTGTGTGTGTGTGTGTGTTTTGGCAGCAAATTCTCTTTTAGGCATCTCTAATTTAATAAATTACAGACCTTATGTCAGCTCATTTTTAACAAAATCCATTCATACTCACGAATAACCTTCCGTGTATTGATGTTAAAGGATGAGAGAAATGTGCTATAGCTGTTTAAATTTCTTTTTTTTTTTTTTCATTTCCCAAGTACTTTCGATCTTCTTCCAAGATCATCTTCAGAGGTGCAATTCGTGAGTATGAACAGATTTTGTTAAAAATTAGCAGACATGATGTCTGTAATTTATTCAATCAGACACACACACACACACGCAGACACACACACACACACATAATATATATATATATATATATATAAAGAGGAGGAAAAGATATAGTGAGAAAGAATAAGGAAACAAGAAAATTATAACAAGGAGAAATAACCACGACATTCTACACATGTACACACACACACACACACACACACACATAAACACACGCGTATACATACACACGAAAAAAAATCAACCTAACACTAATAAAATGCGCATGAATTTTTTTTAACTTAATATAAATAACGAAAATGAGAAAATCAACAAATAATTGCTGATACCTGTTGATGAATGAACCAAACGATTACATAAAGGTTTGTCTACGATCGTCTGCAGTCTAAGTGACAAATCTGGTCAGTCACGTTTCACGTGCATTCGACTCTTTACACAAACGTTAGTATAATTTGTGGCGTTCGGAAATCAATTAATTTCTTGAAACTTCGGATGGACCCGTCATCACTCCTTGAATTCGGAACGCCACAAATTATACTAACGTTGGCTTAAAGAGTCAAATGCACGTGAAACATGACTGACAATGAAAATCAGACACAAAAATGAAAAAAAAAGATGTCAATACTTATCCAGGCGTGAACAAAGTAAAGATATATAAAGTAACCTAGTTCGAAGTCTGGCTAAACTTTATTTGGTAGCAAATTCATATATATATATATATATATATATTGTGTGTGTGTATGTGTGTGTGTGTGTTTTACGTCAAACGTTATTATTA